AGGTGCGCCACCCTTGGATACGGACTTCCTCGGTGTCAGGCATGGTACGGTTGTTCAGTTCGGCGTCCTGGAGGCGAAGTGCTGGAGTGGTGAGCGAGGTGAAGTCTTGAGTTCGGATAGAGGAGTGTCCCGAACTGCCATGGGGTAGGCCAGTTTGGGTTGTTGCCCTTTGTGTTTGTAAGGCTCGAGGCCTAAGGGAGAGCTCGGGCTCCTTGCGGGGAGTTCGGGCTCCTTGTAGGGAGTTCGGGCTCCTGGTAGGGAGTTCGGACCGCTGGTTCCTCTTTTCGGAGCTCGCGCCTCGGGCGTGCTGTTGTGCCGAGCTGTTGCCTTTGTCACGTGTTGAGTGATTACGAGGTTGGGCCAAATCTTCCTTCATCAATTGCCCCCCACTCCTCGCGCTAAGGGACTTGCCTTGGCGCGAGGAGTTCGCGAGGTGGCGGGTGGGTTTGTCCCGTACTTTGAACAGGTTTTGACTGATAGCGCGAAGTGTGCGCTCGTTAGGAATTTTCCGGGTTTCTCGAGCGCCAAAAAGATGGGAAACGCGCCAATTTGTCTATGAATGCTGACAGACGTGATGGCACGCGTTTATTTCAAAATTCAAAATTCAAAAAGCGCGCTGCTGGGAGACGTGACAGCGGGCGTCTTTTCAAATTTGAAAAAACGCACCGCTGCCGCCTTTAATGCGAGGAGACGTGCGCTGGCGTTTTCAGTTTCAGAAAGACGTGTGGCCAATCACGTCTCGGTCTCTGGAGACGTGCGGTCAGCGCGACTGTGGGCCGTTGGATTTATCTTTTGATCTGAGCCGTTGATTCTCGGTTACTGTGGGTATAAATAGTGGGGGACCCCAGTCGCTGTCACTATCCTGCGTTTTGCTTCTTGAGCTCGCGTCTCAGTTTCAGTTTGCGTCCCAACTTCTAGCTCGCGTTCACGTTCCCGTAGTCCGTTTGCTTTTTTCCGGGTGAGTACTTTCCTATAATCCTTATTCTCCTTCCAATGTCTAGCTCGGATAGCTCAAACAGTTCTTCAAGGGAGTCGGATGCAGGTTCTACGAACCGAGTTGCATCCCCTGACAGTCTTAGTGAACCTGAAGTAGAACTCGAGGAAGAGTTCGAACCCGTAGTCCGAGTCGCCTCGGGTAGTTTGGCGTCCTCCTCTTGTCGAGGTCGGGCGTTGGACAAGTTTGGGCCTTCAACCATGACACTTGAGGGGCTTCATTCCCTTATCACCCAGTTCAATTTGCCTAGGGAGTACACCTACTTCATACTTTCGGGCAGTTTCTCCTGGGAACACGGTCCTAATGAGATCGTGATATTCCGGGAGCAGCTCGTTGTTGGGTTGCGCCTTCCTTTCCACCCCCTCATTGTTGAGGTAATGAACCACTTCGGTGTTACAGTCGGCCAGCTTCACCCGAACTCTATTCGCAACTTGGTGGGGACAATCTCCCTATTTTGCGAACAGGTCTTGCCTTTAGACTTGGAGATCTTCTCCTCAATTTTAATGCTTAAGAAGCAAGCGGGTCCCCTTCCC